GTGTGTGTGTGTGTGTGTGTGTGTGTGAGAGAGAGAGAGAGAGAGAGCGCGAGAAAGTGAGAGAGTGAGAGAGACAAAAGAGAAGCAGTGTATTTACATAACGTAGATTATATACGTTCTGTACGCGCACACACTCACCGATATCGCAGTCTGTTCCCGTGTAGCCAGGCGCACAGTGGCAGATGTAGTTAGTGCTGCGGTTGGGCACCTCGCACGTGGCTCCGTTCTGACACGGCGCGTGGCTGCAGGGCGTGATGATCTCTGAAAACGGACGGGGACAGTCTAGCTCAGACACAAGCACACACATGCACACCTCTACTACTACAATTACTACACTACTAATGTTACACATACTATCGACACATACGACCTCCAATAATACAATAATACGAGGTTACTCCTCCCCCATTACAACAATACAATGTTTTTCCTGCCAGTGCAATAACACAGGGGTACATTCTTCCCGGAGAACAGTTATAATACTCTATATATATACGGGGACTCCAAGTCTCTGAACAAGGAGTATTGAATATAGAGGAATATATACTACTATTACCGTATATATAATATATATAGACGAGAAGAGAGACGACGAGAGAAGAGACGAGACACGGAGACGGAGAGCAGAGAGAGAGAGAGAGGAAGTGAGAGAGTTGAGTGAGAGAAAGCAGGGACCGAGAGAGGACAGACAGACAAGAGAGAGAGACGACGACGCAGACGCAAGAGAGAGAGAAAGAGAGACAAGACATGAGAGACAGAGAACGAGACGAGACCGAGACGCAGAGACCGCGACGATGACAGAGCAGAGAGAGACCGCGAGAGAGCCACTGAGCCAGAAACAGAAGCATAGCCGGAGCCAGAGACAGACCAGAGAAGAGCAGAGCAGAGACAGAAAGAGAAAGATGTAGAGCAGAGAGAAGAGAGCAAGAAAGAAAGACAAGACCAAGAAATAAGACCCCGACGCAGCGAGCAGCAGCGACGGCCGGGGGAAGGGCCCTCACCTGTCTCGCAGCGTCTTCCAGTGAAGCCAGTTATGCAGCGGCAATGGAAGCTGTCGAACTGGTTGAGGCATTCTGCGTTGTTGAAGCACGGCTCTCCCTCGCATTCATCAATATCTGTGAACACAGAACACCAGCTTACGTGAGCGATGCAGCCATGACACCATGAACCCATGCATGGTACCTACCCAGCCCATCTTAACGAGCCATCCACCGCCACCTTCCCTCAGCACGTGCCACTATAGACCCTCCAACCCTCCTCGTCATCGTCGTCCTCTTATTCCTTTCCCTCCTTCTTCTTCTCCTCCTCCTCCTCCTCCTCCTCCTCTTTCTCCTTCTCCTTCCCTCCCTCCTCATCAGTGAATTCTCCCGAGTTGCCTCGAGTAGTTTTACCACACGCCACCTCCTCTTCCTCCTCTTCCTCTTCTTCCTCCATATCCCCTCCTCCTCAGTGAATTATCCTGAGTAGTTTTGCTACACGCCTCTCACCATCGTTACAGAAAAATCCCTTCCATCCGGGCGGACAGCGGCAGGCGTAGTTGGTGGTGCCCTCTATACACGTGGCGCCGTTCTGACACTGATTGTTGATGCAGGAGCCGGGTATAGCTAAAACACGAAACGGCGAGAGAGGTGAGACAAAAAAAAACATATATCAATGACGGCAATTACATTAAACCTTACAAATCAATTCGAATCAAGTAATGATAATAGCTGGATTTGCTCTAAAAGTTGTTTCTACGCGTTTTTTCCCGAGCAATGCCGGGTACCCGGCTAGTGTATATATATATAAGGGACCTATTTATTTATTATGGTATGTAGCATGTAATGGTCGTGCGTCGCTAAGTATAGGATATCAGAAATACGGGGGCCCGTTGACAGAAAAACAGGGCAAAGTTACGAGTTTCTCACACGCAATGTATAGAGGTCCGGTCTACGAGAGAAAAAGTTAATGTTAAGACTAGTGTTAAGTAAATTAAGTAAGTTAAGACGGATGGACGTGTTACCGGTGGTATATATATCGGGGCCAGGTGTGTATACGTACATATTTCGCAGAAAATGCCCGTGAATCCTGGCGCGCATTCACACGTGTAGTCGATGGTTCCACGGAAGCAGGTGGCTCCATTCACACACTGGTGGTTCTGACACGGGTCGGCGATCACTGCCCGAGAGAAAGAAAGAGAAGATGAGAGTGTGCGAGTGAGAGGGAGGAGAGAGAGGGGGAGGATAGAAAGAGGGAGAGAGAGGGGAGGATAGAGAGGGAGAGAGGAGATGAGAGTGTGTGTGGTTGAGAGGGAGGATGAGGAGGAAGATGAGGAGGAGGAGAAGAAGAAGACGAAGAAGGCGGAGGAGAAGACGAAGAAGAAGACGGAGGAGGAGGAGGATGGAGGAGGAGGAGGAGGAGGAGAAGGAGGAGGAGGAGGAGAAGAAGGAGGAGGAGGAGGAGGAAGATGAGGAGGAGATGAGAGTTTGTGAGACACCGAGACATAGACATGCTTTAGTCATTTAGACTAATTTTGAGACATTATGAGATTTACTTTGAGACATTGAGATATTGTAATACTTGAACCACTGAGACGTTGATATACTTGAGACATTTGCACACTTGAGACATTTGTACACTTGAGACATTGAAGACACGGTGAGGTCTCGAGACACTTACGTGATTCGCAGAGTGTGCCTGTGAACGCGTCGTCACACTGACAGACGAATGTTGCCGTTCCTGACAGACAGGTGGCGCCATTGAGGCAGGGTTCTCCCAGACACGTGTCCTCGATTCCTGCGCGAGAGTAAAATAGACGTCACAATGTAATTAGATATTACATAAACTTAAATATAATATACAATTAGATAATTATACTTTAATGATAAATATAAAAAATATGATTATAATAGATAATATTAACAATTATGACTATAATTATAATAACTATAAAAAATAACATTAGTGATATCTAATTTTATATGATTATTTTTTATTAATTACTGATATAATTCATGATATTTAAAATATAATTAGTAACAATAATACAAATTCTACATGCTACTAATATAATAATAATAATAATATAATATATAATATATATAATAATATTAATAATAATAATAAACTTTTAATGGCACTTACTGATTTCGCAGTTGTTGCCAGTGAAACCTTCAGCACACTTGCACGCGTATCCGCTGGTGCCGGCAGCACATTCACCACCGTTCTCACACGGATGGCCTTCACACGGGTCGACGATCCCTGCAATAACAAGAGCAGCTGACGCATGAGACGATATTTTCGGGCATAATTATGATTGATGAGTTGATTAGATAGTTGGCTTAGTGAAACAATCGCTCGCGAGTTATGCGTGTTGATCAGTGTTTTAGTAATTTTTATGTGTTTTAATATATTTTAGCATCGCTTTATCACGTTTTGAGCGTGGTTTCACGGTGCTTTAGCGTGTATCGGGTGTGGTTTGTCGTGTATTAGCATGTTTGAAGATGTTTCATCATGTTGTTGCGTGTTTTTGTGCATGTTATATCACGTGGTAGTCTGTTTTTGCGCGTTTTCTTTCACGAAATATTGTTAATACGCGTTTAACTATGCTATAACTTACTTTTGTGGCAGAATTTGCCTTCGTGTCCCGTGCCTTCGCAGTCGCATAAGAACTCGTGCTGAATGTTATAACATGCTCCACCGTTCTGGCACGGTTTGTTGTTGCATGCCGGTCCTAAAGTACGAGAAAACAACAACAATTTTGATGGCAGTTCACGTTCGAATGTTTGTATAGTTCGTGTTTGATAATGTTGGGGGCAAAGGGTTACAAAGAGCACGCGAGAAAAAGAGAGGCAAAGAGCGAGAGCGAGAAAGAGAAGGAGAACGAGAGAAAGACAGAAAGATGAGAGAGGTAGAAAGAGCCAGAGTCAGAGAAACAGAGTGTGAGAGAGAAGGAAGGATATATATATATATATATATAGAGAGAGAGAGAGAGAGAGAGAGAGAGAGAGAGAGAGAGAGAGAGAGAGAGAGAGAGAGAGAGAGAGAGAGAGAGAGAGCGGCGTGCGTGCGTGTGTGTCGTGCGTGCCGTGCGTGGCGTGCGTGCGTGCGTGCCTGCGGCCACATACGCACTCTCATCTCAGGCAGATTCGCTTGCGAAGCACCGGACCCGGACGGCAGTCGTGATGTACCGATCTCACGATATCGCGGCCCGTCGAGATCCCGGACCCGAGCATCGCAAATGTAGTCGTTAACCAGGATCGCGGGCAGACGACACCGATTGATGCACGATTGGATGGGCGCATTATCATGTCTGCAAGATGCCGGAGAAGGAGACGGAGGAGGTTAGCTGGAGGTGTAGAAAGATGGAGAGAGAGGAGAAGGTAACAAGAGTGAAAGTGAGAAAGAGAGGAAGACAGAGAATGGAGAGAGAGAGAGAGAGAGAGAGAGAGAGAGAGAGAGAGATAGAGAGAAGAGAGAGAGAGAGAGAGAGAGAATGCGTGAGACACAGGCGCGTGAGAGAGCAAAAAGGGAGTGTGTGTGTGTGTGTGTGTGTGTGTGTGTGTGTGTGTGTGTGTGTGTGTGTGTGTGAGAGAGAAGGGAGAGAGAGAAGAGCGCGAGAAAGTGAGAGATGAGAGAGAAGCAAAAGAGAAGCGCAGTGTATTTACATAACGTAGATTATAATACGTTTCTGTACAAACGGCGCACATAACACACTCAACCGATATGCGTGAAGGCTTCCTGTCCGCGTGATAAGCCAGGCGCACAGTGGCAGATGTACGTTAGTGCTGGCGTTGGGCAGCCATCGCATGCTGCTTCCGTTCTGACACGAGCAGC